TGCCCAGTCCGTGTGCAGGTCTCTCTGGTCATGCCCAGTCCGTGTGCAGGTCTCTCTGGTCACGCCCAGTCCATGTCCCCGTCTCTCTGGTCACGCCCAGTCCATGTCCCCGTCTCTCTGGTCACGCCCAGTCCATGTCCCCGTCTCTCTGGTCATGCCCAGCCCATGTCCCCGTCTCTCTGGTCACGCCCAGCCCATGTCCCCATCTCTCTGGTCACGCCCAGCCCATGTCCCCGTCTCTCTGGTCATGCCCAGTCCATGTCTCTGTCTCTCTGGTCACAGCCAGCACGTGACCTGGTCTCTGTGATCACACCCAGCCCACGTGCCAACCTCTTTCCGCTCAGCCTGTGTGTTCTCTAACAATAGGTAATAAAAGTTCAAATTCTTGATGACAACGATTCCTAGATGTGGTTTACATTTTACTGTTCTTTAATTATTCTTCTGTTAGGCTATTTGGTGTGTAATTAAAGTCAGTGTAAGGACAGCCGTGCCGTAATTAAAAGTTAATCCAAGCCAGATTGACAGATATGAACCAGTAGAAGATCAGTCCGAAGCCAGTACGGGGGACGGGGGACGGGGGGGGTGACGTTGAGCTGCCTTTCTGGGGCAGAAGGGGCCTGCGGCCGTAAATGGCAGCGTTACTCAATCTGTTTATAGAGCTGCTTCACACGAACTGAAGAACATAACAAAGGAGAAGCACCAGGTAGGGGGAAGATCTCCCTTCAGCCAGTATCAGCCCCCATGTTCTTATCACTTTTTCTTAGAGTGACGAAAGACTGTGACCTCAAGTGAAACGAGCTCCTAAAGCTACGCCTGGCAAAGCGGAGCCTCCCGCAGTCACCCGCCAAGAGCGATGGCGGGGGGGAGTGGGGAATGGGGTGGGGGCGGGCCCTCCCTATTCTTCCACTCATTCACGTATAACAACCTCCTGCTCAGTTGCCTAGAACCTCCTCTCCAAGCAGACGGCCTGGGGCATGCACACCCGTGCAAGTGTCAGGTCTGTAAGCTCCTGTCCCGCAGCAGAGTCCTAAAAATGCTTCATTATGATATCAAAGCCTTAATGCTGCTCAAGCCAAACCAGCCTTTTCTGAAAAGCATGTCATGACTAAACCAACAAAAATCTATCTGCTTTCTCCAGGAGAAACAAGCGAGTTTATAGTGCAGATTTCGGGATTTCAGGCAGTTGTTTTGGAACTGGCTGGCAAGGGCAGGGCCAGTTATAACTGATGGGAACATTTCTGTCTTGTGGGCAAACAGCCCTGGGAAACTTCAAATGATGACCAAAATATTCCTGACATCTTAATTAAATGTCAAGTCACACGGGAGAGTGCGGTGCAGATGGCATGCTTACAGAGAAGGTGCGGAGAAGACAGTCCAGAAGCAGACCCCATACTTTGAACCATAAGATGACATGTCTGCACTGCAAGTTTATATAAAAATGAAAACTTGGTAAAATTAATCAAAACAGCATTTTTTACCAACAAGAGTAACAAAGGTGAAAAGACCATAAGTAGGACACTGATGCCTTGACAGACAGTGATTTAACAGCCCTGCCTGCAGATTCACGCACACACACACACACACACACACACACGAACACGCCGGTATATTTTGGAACACATCCCGATGAAGCCTGAGGGTGGAATTCCACCAATCAGCACTCAGCACGCAGGGTGTCCAGAAACACCTAGCGCCGACTCCCGGCCGTTTTGGCACAGGTTCCAGATCGACGGGACAAGTCGGATCAGCTTCCCAACTTGTCCTCAGAAAGACGATCACTTCAGGAAAATAGTTCTGCTATTAGAGTAGAATTTAATTAAGTGCGTGGGGGCTGATTACAGATTTACAGTTATTTAAAGATATCTGCTCTCAGGAGAACCATCTTCACGTCGGGGTGAGTCTTTGTGCTGCGCGCAGACAAGCTCGCTACTCATTTAACATCATTCCTGAACGTCTCCCTCCACACCCGTCTCTCTTTCCCGATAAGTCTCATACCCGTCGGTCCTTCCCAGGTCTCTCCTGACCTGGCCCTCCCCTTACTCTTCTCTTTGTCGGACCTCTGAGCCGGGTACGGGGGCGTGTTGGCCCAGCCGGCCTGCTGCCTGGCTCTCGTTTGGAACCCCACGGTGCAGCAGAAAGCAGAGGGTGTTAATTGGCCTTCAGTCATACCCTGCTCTGCTGGTCCGGATCCAACAGCACCAGCTAAAGTGACAAAACTGTGTGGCTTGTGATGAGAGCGCAGGACTAGGCCGAAGCCAAGCGCTCTCAGTGGGCTTTGAGAACACAATGGAAGCCGAGACGTGTTTGTCTGCCTCTCATTAGGGAAGAGTTTATTTTGGACCTGTTTTTATTTCTAAACTCTGAAGCTGATCTGTCATTGTCCATCACAAACGCAGGACCACACTAAGCAGGTGACCATAGACACCAACCTGGGGCGTTATTCACACAACAAATTCCAAGTAACTTCATGGACCTGGAATTTATTTATTTTTTTAAGCAATTTCTGTATTTGCTAAAGCTACTTGTGTTCTCTAAGTTTCTTCATCCATTTGCTTACATACAGTCATGCTGTGTAATGCATAGTCTGACTATGCTGTAATCCAGAAGCAGTGAAAACACCATAATCCACCACTGGGGTTTTCAGGCTTTGCTTTCAAAGTCCTGCTATATTTCCCATTTTAATATATCATAAAAGCAGAATTTAAACATAAACATCTAATCAAGCACTTGTACACACTGCACATTTTGTAAATATCAACTTACTGACTTTAATCTGTACTGATTTGCACTATTTAAACCAATTTCTTATTTTATTTTTTGTTCTGTGTTGTCTTTGAATGTACCAATGCTATCAATTTCCCAGTACATTTAGGTACACCTGGTCAATAAAGCGATTTCTGATTCTGAAAAATCCTGATGAATACATCCTCAGCACCAAAAAATTCTTCCCCTTGGGCTACTTTGGTGAGACACTGGTAAAACTCACAGACTTTTTCATGCCACATGTGGCAACTGTGCAACCCATTAATCTTACAATTTGATCTGCACACCTGATGGAGGTGATGGGCATTAAATATAGGCACCTGTCAGTCAAGAAAACCTCTCAGTCAACGTGGTCTGCATGGTCAGCACGGTCTGCGTGGTCTGCATGGTCAGCACGGTCTGCGTGGTCTGCATGGTCAGCACGGTCTGCGTGGTCTGCGTGGTCTGCATGGTCAGCATGGTCTGCGTGGTCTGCATGGTCAGCACGGTCTNTGCGTGGTCTGCGTGGTCTGCATGGTCAGCATGGTCTGCGTGGTCTGCATGGTCAGCACGGTCTGCGTGGTCTGCATGGTCTGCGTGGTCTGCATGGTCAGCACGGTCTGCGTGGTCTGCATGGTCAGCATGGTCTGCGTGGTCTGCATGGTCAGCACGGTCTGCGTGGTCTGCATGGTCAGCACGGTCTGCGCGGTCTCCCGTAGTCCCCATTCAAAGCTGCAGTCGAAGTCTTCTTGAGGACACGGTGGATTCACACGCCTGCGCAGATGGTCTGATGCCACTGCAGGGGCCACATCGCTCAGCCGTGCCACTAATTAATGAAATCAGAGTCTCAGTTATTAGCATAAAAGAAATATGATATATATTTTTACAAAAATGTGATCAAAGGGTTTACGGGGTCATGGAGACCCAATCACACATAAGCCTGTAGGCCTCTCACTACCTTCTGCAGGCTACATTTTAACAGTAATGATATTTGTGGTGTAATCATGCATATATATATATATTTCACTCCTACAGCTAGGATGGAGTTGTACCCACTAATATATTCCAAGTCAGACCAAGTGCAGCTTGCAGAGGGAAAAAAAAAAAAAACGCTTTGGTTGAGTAACCGTAATAATTAGAAAATTATTTTGATAGCCTGAAACAATCTAATATATTACAAAATTTTATTAAAATAATATCAGATCAAATTAACTGCTATTCCATAATGAATTAGGTAACAAGGTAGGCAGATATTAATCACCCTGCCCTCCCCCAGGCCAGAGACACTGAGGGTGGGGTTATTAAGTTAACTCTATGGCTCGTTAGGAGTCAGAATCTGCTGGGGGGAAAAAAAGCACTGCATGCAATTCACTCTTGAAGACATGCTTTCTTCCCTGACATTTCTCTATGTGTCTTTCAGGTATGTTCCATTGTAAATGTTTTAACATTTAAATCAATCATTAATACTCAGCCTTCCCTTGACCGGACACCCAAACCAGAACCCCTCCGCTAAACTTTCTATTGCCATTACTTCTTTGGGAGGTGCACTGAAGCTAGACATACAGCTACCAGAATGTTCCTCTATGAGGAATAACGAGTCAAGGCTGGCTGGCCAGTTGCCTGTTGAGTAAAGCCGTTCTGTTGATGGAATAATGTCCTTGTTATATATAACAAAGGAGGAGGTTTGAATGATTTCACTGGACTGCCATAATAGGGGACCGCTCACAAATCAGGCCAAGGGGTTTGGCTGGCACAAAAATGCTCTCGGTGAACCTCCTTAATAGAAAACATGAGCCTTATCTGCTGGTGCAAGACCTATGGCACCATGTAGAACCTGCCATTTGTAGTTTACTTCAGAACACCCACATGATACCTGGAGTAGAGCCACCAGATGCTGTCTGCCATGGAGCCTCCGGATGGTTCCTGCTGTAGAATCTCGGGATTCTGTCACATCTAGAACTTGTGTAGAACCTCCTGGTGGTGCCCAGGATGGAGCTTTTAGAATTTAGTGATTAATTGTTATTGTTGACACACCACAGCACACAGTGCACAACAACGAAATGTGTTCTCTGCATTTAACCCATATGTGACAATGTGACATAGCAGGGGGCAGGTAATTCAGCGCCTGGGGAGCAGTACTGGGGGCGGTACCTTGCTCAGGGTACCTCAGTGGTGCCTTGCTGGTTCAATTACAAGTGCGCTTCCCTAACCATTAAGCTACCACTGCCACCACTGCAACCTGGTGCAGAACATACAAATTCTGCCAGGCATAGAACCTCCAGATGATGCCTCGTGTTCTGGGTGCTCCCCGGAGTAGAACCTCGCATTCACGGTCTAGTGTAAAAAGCTCATTATACTGTTGGGTTAGAACCTTCATGCTCATTCACACCTCCAGCTAGTGCAGAACATTAGTGGGACGACCTTCAGTTTGGTGCTGGCACAGGCTGGGACATGGGGACAATGGAGGAAATATGGCCTCTTTTTGGCGGGGACAGCTATACCCCTGACACCTAGGTCCCCCCCCCCCCACACCTTATGAGGGGAAAAGGCATTTCGTATTTTTAATTAGTAATTATTTTGGAGGTTTTATGGCTTTATTTTAGCTGTCACAGTGAGCGGGGAGAGAGGATTAGCGACCTCGGGGGGAAGGCAAGTGAGGGAGATGCAGGCAGAGGGAGGACAGCTCATGTTTGATCCAAGGGGGCTTTACAGGCCAGGGGGTGACAGCTGCACTGTCTTCAGCCGGATTTGAATTTGAATTCTATCTAACGACGCAGCAATGCACGGACTTGGCAGGGCAGTCTGCTAATCTTCTTGACACAAATGCCTGGGCTTTTCTTATGTGCCCTCACAGAGATTTGAGTAATTAAAGTTAAATTGAAGGAATAAAAAATATCCTTCTTGTACTAAGGCTGTCTTGCTAATGCCAAGTGTGAATAGTCAGGGTTGTCCTTAGAAGTCTAATCCCAAATGCTTTTTCTCCTGCCACAGGCTGTCAGGGCCTGGCGATAAGGCCAGAGCACAAGGCTCTCATCTTACAGACATCTGTAGGCGAGAAGAAAGGAAGATGACTCCAGGTGGAATTCATTAGCCCCCGAGGTACATCAGACCAGTAGGACAGATCTGCTCAGGTCAGAACACTTACCCTCCAGCTGGACCCTCAGAGCAGGAACATGAAGTTTCCCTCATGGGTTTGCTCTTCATATCTAAATACATGTCAGCGAGGATTCCACACTCGAGCAGCTCATAAGGTACAGTACAACTGTTCCCTCCTTTGTCTGCATGCAACCCAGGCAACTGCTCCAGCATACTGAACGGATCCAGGTCCTGGATGAAGCACATGGCAGAAAAGGAAAGAGGGAACCAATGGCTGCCTTCCACTGGGGTGTGACAGACTCAAGTCGACAGAGGAACTTCACTCCCTGATCGCAGCCCAATACCTGCAGAGTGACGAGGACTTCCGAAACAAACGCACAGAACAGTGACCTCGTGCACTAGAATGTGTGTCGTTTATTTTTAATCCTCCCTCTCCTCAAATGCTATTAATGATTCGAGTAAATGGACAATCTAACATGCATTGCAGAGGTCAGTGTGTCAAGGGGAGACATTGACAAGCGGCCTTCTAGAAAGAATTTGCTGGTATTAGCGGGTGATCACTGAGAAAAAGATTGGCACAGGCAACTGAGTATGTAGACTGGCTAGGCAGTGAGGCGCTCCGCAGTGTACTTCCACACTGTACCACTGTGCACTGCATGCACCTCCTTTCCTGGGAAAGAATGCTACCATCAGTTTTGGATCATGTCTGCTTTCCCCCGACTGCTACAGGCCTTCACGCTGGACAGAGATCCTGCCTGAACAGCTCTATTAATCCCCAAGACCTTTGAGGTCTGGCTCACGATGCCACATAATGCATACCTGTCTGGAGTAATTAATTCTCCCACTGTCTGTCATTGCCTCAGGCCAAATTCTTTTTTTGTGGTTTCACCTATCTTAGCGCCTCCTGCCACCCAGTGTTCGGAGACCGCTCTAACGGGCATGTGAAAACCACAAGAAAGCTACCTTTCTCCTAAGCGCACAGCTACTGAGCAGAAGCAAGCTTTAAGCCCATGGCGAACAGTCGGCTAGCAAAGGAGAAGAGGAGAGGGAGGCGAGATTAAAGGGAAGGTGAGAGATTTTAACATCAGCTTTCAAACGGCACTTGGCCACGTTACAGGTTCCACACTCACCCCGAGCTTCTCCTACACGCCCACACGCCAGCCTTCCTCTACTCCTGAAAGGACAGACCAGCACCTGGAGTAACACTCTCAAGCTGCTTACACCGAGAGAAAAACATGCAATTACTGCTAGGAGATGAGCTCAGCATGCTGCGTGGTGAGGGTCCACGCACACAGCAGTGCGTGAAGAGATTAGCAGCACGGCCAGACTGCAGAACACAGGAATAATCATCCTGTCACAGCTACCAGCTCAGGCTACCAGCAGCATGTCAACATCTTCTGTTCTCCCTGCATTAAGACATACCGACAAAGATTATGTAGGCGAGGAAGACAAAGATTTATTAATAAACTGCATGCAATAAATTCAGAATTGAATGCATTGGACATGACTTCTGTGACTTATGACTTGGTCAACAAATCTGTGTACTTTGTGGTCTTCGGTGGACGTATCAGGAAGACGTTGAGGAGACAGACCAACAGTACAGTGATTCAATGTAGGGAGAAGCCTCATCCAAAGTTCTCATCCGACTTCAAGTATTAAAAGAAAACAAACAGCTGACTACATGCTCTTGGTTCAACTGAGGTCCTACCAGCTGACATGTAATTGGCTGCTAGCCGTTCCCAAGTGTGCCCTCTGTGACAATCATGTGCACGAGCGGACAGGGGATGCACCGTTCAAACTGAGAGCATCACATCATCACAAAACAACATGGGAAACACTATGTTGGAGGACGGATGTGCGGCCAGTCAGTCTTCCCTGCCCCAAACCCGAATCTCAAGCACTGTTGAAGCTATTTGTGGCAAACTAAGGCATGAACATAATGACATCACATAGTTCCCGTGAAAATTCAGTAGCGGATAAGAGCATACCCAGAATTCAACATGTCACCCTTTATTAAATAAAAAGTGCAAAAAGAAGAGAGAGTTGATAACGGGTAATTTTACGAAGGGGAACACATCACTCAGAGCAAAAAATTTCATCTGTAGATATCACCTTTAATGGAGTTTGAGTAGATGATATATATTGCAGAATGTGTCTGAAGGTATCTTGTGTTCGGTGTTTTGTTCTTGGACAGACTTCCCTCTCCAAAGCACCCTGTGAATTTAATAGGATATTCAGGTTAATCTGATATTAACAGCTGAGCCAGGAGCTCTCTAAGAAACCCTAATGAGACTCGGTTACCCATAAAAGTAATATTCCCATGTTTTATTTGGTTCACTATGTCATATTAACCCACCCTGTGCAGGCTTCACGTCTCTGTCCAGCAAAAGATATGTGGCTGTAAACCAGCATTCATACACCACAAGTGCTAAATATGTCAACATGTTAAACGTTTGATAAACTGTCACATACGTGTGAGTAAAAGCACCTAGTCAAGACCACATGACGATATTTGACAGACTAGTCCAAGAGCAAATTCACTAATCAGCATTGAAGTGCGATTCTGAAGAAAATAAACACGGACTCTTGCATTAATCCATGCGAGATGCAGCAGTACTGGTCGGGCCACAGGAATGACGGGCTTCCTGTCTGCAAATCTGGCAGAGTCCAGGCGGGAAACAGCAGCGACACGGCCGTCAGTACATTTGCCACTGCTGCTCGCAGCAGCACCACCACCACTCATTACATTAAGCTGACACTTAATTATAACTTTCATCTACTGCCGTTTCTGCTGCGGTCCAAAAACATTCAACTCCTGTCCAAAAAATGTGCAAGACATTCATGTCACTCTCCAATTAGTCAGAGAACATGCTTGAATTCTGCCTCCCACGTGAAAGTAAAGTCACAGTAGGAGGTGACCAAAGAATAAGTTGTGACTATGATTCCTATTGTATTTCGATGGCAGATGGGCAAGACCCAGACATACTGAACATTTTGTGTTTAGAAAACAAAATTGCTATAGTCTAAAACAAATGCAATTCTAAACATAAAAAATTTTTTTTAGTCGCATGGGATAAGATAACGATTGGTGGACTGATCGTTTAAAAAAAAAACACACGCAAAAAAAAAATAATCAAATCAGACCTTGTGACTTGCACTAAGCTGGCTGACTGGCAAAGTTAACATATATGTTCAAGTGTAACATGTAAGGGCACGTCTGCAAAAAACCACAAATCCATAACAAAGCAGGAGATTCCATGTTGCCACCCAAGTTACCAAGAGAATATCTGTTTATCACCTGAGAAAGATGAATGGGTAGCAAAGTCTCCCAGGAAAGCTTCGGTCGTTTGGCAAGGTGGTCTGCGCTTGTGTGAGCGTAGCATCATTACAGAGCCAGGTTTGGCCGTGATTCTCCGATACTGCTGGAACTTGTTCCCGATGGTCAAGCCAGGTCCATTTCCTGCTTAGAGAAGCAAAGAGCTCTGCTTGTACTCACAGTGCACGGCATGCGTGATCCCTGTCTATGCTTTGTTACTGTTGTACGGCCCAGCAAGGCGACAAACCACTACCCACTGGTCAGTGTCATATAAATGGCTCAAGCTTGCAGCTGCAATGGACTTCCACTTAATGATCTTTAACCAAACTGTGCATCCGTATGGCTAATGTCCATGTTCTCCTGCACACGCATAAAGCTGGGGTCTCAAAAGCAGCCCGACGGTACCACAAAATAACGCATTTACCAGCTCATTAACAAATCACCTGATTCTGCTTATCACTGCTCCTGAAATGTAGTAAACTCTGACATCCAGGGTTAATATGCGCACTGGGAGGCACAGAATTCACTGCGGCGGTAATAAGCGTCACGGCCAGCAGCTGCTGAAGGGCTGGACGTGGGACCAAAAGAAGGGTATTTATCACGTTATTGACTTTCTGACTGCAGTGTCATGAACCCTTTTGTCATAAAGTGCTGCACTTAGAGTGAGAGCGGCGATCGATGCGAGGCAATGCTGCTGTCACATCCCCCCCCCCCACCCCAGAAATTCCCTCCTGTTGCAGCACTCACCGCTCTGGTGAGAAGGTAGCGTACGGGGCCTCGACAGCTCGCCGCCACTTCAGGACACACAAAAACCCCAGAAGGGGATGGGTTGGGGTTTATTTAAATCACAGAGATAGAGAGAGAAACAGGGACTTTGCAAGCAAACCATTCTGTCGGCATTTGCATTGCGAGCCAGATAAACACCTCTCACCTGGCATGCTGCCACCTGTGAGGTAACAAGAGGAGGCGTACGAGGTTCAGTATCTCCAGGAGTGCGCGAGAAGTTAACAATCTCACCGTGAGCTCCATTTAAGAAAGGGAGGGGACGCTGAACTCTAGTTAGAATGGCAGGGACCGGTGCACTGATTTATTCACACCTGTAAAGTGAAACAGTGGAATATATGTGTAAGTTATTGATTTGGAACCATGTATCATCTGGCAATGCCCTGTTGCTTCTGGGTCATTCTCACTATATCAGGTTCTCCATTCGCTGTTGTCATGACCCAGCATCTTCCTGGTATTGTGCAACCGGAAGGCACATCCACACACCTTTGTGAGATCACATGGAGGTCAGCGAAAAGGAGGACCAACAGCACTAAATGTCAGCCAAGCGACAGCTGAACGCTAACCACACATATACATTCGTAGCCTCTAACATTCCTTTTGTGTGACAAGAACATTTTGTTCTACCATCAAGAGTCCCAAATCCAGACTAAATCCATGTATGCAGGGACTGAAGTCCACTGGGTTTGGGGCAGAACCCCCTACACACAGAAAGAGCTAGATATCAGGATCAAAGTAAACACACATTCTTGGGGGTTCACTCTGTCCACTGACTAGAATTTCACATCGGTCACTACAGCTGGAAAAGAGGCAAGCAAAAAACGTCATGAATAACAGGATGATGGTTTAAAGCTTAAGGTGACTTTGAACATCACAGAATATCATCCGCCCTAAATTCTTCTTGACTAGCTGAATTCAGCTCTGACTGGTCTTCTGCCTCCGGAACACAGATAAGCGGCTCTGAGTGATTTAACATGCCTACATGTAGGACCTGTCTCATACTAGCTTATTCCTGAAACCTCATGATAAAGAGAAAGTATAAGGTCCAACAGTCCCTATTCTGTAATCAAGCCTTTAAGTATTCACTGAGCATGCATATGTGCGACTGTATAGATCCACAGTCAGTGTGGCGTCCTCTGTTGAGGAGACCTTCTTAAACTTGCATTATGGATCGATATTAGACAAATTATACAAATGGAGGCAGACACAAGCTTTTCCTAAGCAGGAAAATTCTGATAAATATACAGGTTTGCTTGAAAATTAAACATTATCATTGTTTCAGAGACGTAAAAGATAATTCCTAATAAGACAAACACGTGTTTGATGAATGGATCTTAAAGTAATGACAACTTTTCATTTGTTTAAAAAGTTTTCATTTTTTAGGCTTATCTCAAATTAACACAGAATGTGTATATTGACAGTTAAAGTGCAAATGTCAGCAATAATATGGAAGATGAGACCAGAGATACAAGATTTCGAGGATAATTACGTAATTGCACGTAAACTCTAAGGGTGAGGAAGCCCAAACTGAGCTGAGCATCGCTGAGAAATCAACCCCCCCAGTCAACTGTGCTCACTTGTGATGCGTACCTGTACAAGAACGAGGTCAGAAGCTAATGTTTAACACCTAGGTTTCCATGGAAATCGCCCAAATGTTTTGGTTCACGCAAACTGTACGGCTTAAACGGATTTAATTCAAAGCATCTTTCCTCAGCACACATGCTCCCATATATTAGGATAAGACAGATGAACGTGATATCGCATGTCGTGATAACACCACTACGGGCATAAAGTCATGGTATTGCTAATGACACACTGATGTGCGCATCTCCATCACAGGTCAGTTCTGTGCTGCTACCACTGAGCTAATGCATTTGTAATTAGCACATTCGTTATCAACATTTCCCTGTGAAGTAAAATGCAACAGATGTACAGACAGATCAGCAGTGTTCAGAAAAACAGCAAAACTCTGGAGCTTGTGCAACAGCAGCGGCAGCAAGGAGATTTCATGGAGACGGATCACAGCTGGCCAGTGGGAGCTGGGTTTCAGAGGAGAGCAGGCAGTGGTTCTAACCCTGAAGTTCAAAGCAAGGGGTCCTCCAGAGACAGAACAACAGGTTGAAACCAGCAAGGTAGCCTAGAGATGCTGATGGATTGGGGAGGAACTGGGAAAACATTGTACCCTGACTTAGGTGAAGTCTGGTGTTAAAGAGATGGAATCCTGTATTTGAATATGACTTTTGACCCAGTTCCCTGGACTGACTGAGCCCTCGTCCAGCCTGGCTGACCGTTGCAGAAGCCCGCAGGTGTATGTTTCCTGAGGGTGTGATGTTGGGCTGCATCGGCCTCCCTTCACCTCTGGAAGCCACGATGCATCCTTGTTGGCCTATTTAAAACGGCACCTGATCCCATTAATTACTGTCCGACTCCTTGTCAAGCTGTGGTACGGCTGGCACTAAAGCCTCTCCTGGCGTTTCTGGCAGATAAGGTGTCAGTTATCTCTTTGGGAGGTTAATAGACCAACCAAATAATCCTTTCCCTGCTTCAGTAGATACTTGGTTATTTGCATTTGGTAAGCTGATATGGTCATTCAGTTCAAAGTGTGACTGCATTCCTAATGAATTTCTCCTTAGCGTCTTCCCTCGGGACAGCGCTCAAGGCATCAACAGCTCCGTTCATTATCTTTCTGTGCTCAGAGCACCCAACTCTGCAGCTCGCCTGCAAAACCCACTGGATGAGGGTATCTTAGGGAATTTAGCAGAACTATTAAAGGTGTGTTCAGGGGCTTTAATACTCAATGGGACTCTTCCACCGTGAAAAGGTATGGCAGGCCTATTTGGCCCAGTGCAGCATCATCACTGGTGACCAATGCTTTCATGACCCTTGACAGCTCCAGAGGACACAGACTGAATTCGTTGCTCCCAGCTGGCACAGGGAGCATATCTGTAACTCAACACAGAAACGGCACAGTTCTTAGGCCAACCACTGGTAAATAAGAGCTGGAGAAAAACTGTACACCTGCCTGGCTGCCGATGGTTGGGCCCTCGAAGCTCAGGACAGACACAAATGCACCGGGTCTGTCTACTCTCATTTAGCTCACTAATGTAAGAACAGAACTCACCGTTACACACTGCAGCTACAGGGTCATGCTTCCTGCAGGAACTGGATCAACGCAGAAATGTGTCTTATGCTAACAAAAAAAAAAAAAAAGTTACAACTACGCTACATTTCTGAAGATATTTCCTTGAAAAACGAAGAGCGAGGTGCACTTCAAAGCATTTCATTTGTTGGTAAAGATCTAAGTAATACAGACACATAAGGACATGAATAATGGGCATGCAAGGATACGTGCTGCTTTGACAGCATGTCTCCATGGTTACAGGACACACAAATGCTAAGTGGCCTTTGACCTTTAGACCACGTGACTTCAGTATTAGGATATCTCCTGCCTTTCTCCATCTGCGTGTCACTCCACCCAGGGAGCCTGACTACACAGACCTGCTGAGATGATACAGATCGCACCTGCACGGGAATCATTGAGAACAGCGAGTTAGTCCTCTCTCTTAGCACCAAGCATCCATGAAACTGAGGAAACAAATTTACAAACGTATGCTCTCACCGTGAGCCCGCATATTATTTCTCTGTACAGGTGTCTTAAGTCAAACACCATAGGATGATCACTGAATCTTTTTAACTTCCTGCTTCTGGATGTACTGATAAGAACTTTGCCGGTTTCTCTCGATGCAGCTCCTGGGCGGTGCTTTGCAGGGGAGATTGTTAACGGTCCACATCGCAAAGGCTCCCAGTTTTGGTGCCGTTGTTTCAAAATCATCAGTGTCCCGGGTGAAAGATGATGACGGCTCCTTCCCACCCTTAATCAGCAGCACTGACCTTTGCGGACGGCCCCTAGCAGAGTGATTAAACCGCATTCAGGGCACAGTGAGCGAGGAGAAGGATGCAGGCGGCCAGATGGAGGGGAGACAGAGAGTTTTCCTGTCCTTGTGTCATTTTCAACCTTTACCATCCTGAGAACCCATGCTATCACACCCCAAAGATTAGTTTCACATAAATGTAAGGAATTAGCAAAAAAGGACATCCACACAAGCAATTTATCCAACAGCGAGACCATCCAGTCAGCCAGCAATAATTCACACATCATTCTGGCTAAACCTTAAGATAATCCCCATTGACTTGCCCTGGCTCATACCCAAAGCACTCTAAATAAAAACGACTCCGGCGGAAGGAAACCCTGGTAGGTGTACCTGGATGTTGACAGATTTCTAAAACGAGTGACACAGAGGGCGACGTAGCCAAGGAGACGGGCGTGTGGATGTAAAATCAGGAAAATAACAACAAGCCTCTGATAACCAATTCTGAGTTTGTAGGGAACCATTTGTAGAAAAAATACTTGCAACATACATTCTGATCCCAAAATAGGAAGTAACTTTAATACATACATCACAGTATAAGTATGACAATAGTTTGTGAAGTTTGGCTGAGACCCGAATAAAGCAGCCACCATTTTCTCACTTAAACTGCGGCAGAATTGATGGCAGAGATGCATGAATTATATAAAGGTATAATGCACAGTGACAATTCAAGTAACTGATGCATTAATACATTTATCCTATATCTGAACCATTAAGGATACCTGCATGTCAACTTAAATAAGTATAAATGCAAATGTTGCCAAAATCACTTGGTTTTAAAAAGCAGTATGGTGAGATCACGTAAACTGCTAAAATCCCTAATAAGTATTAAATGTAAGGAGTTGAGAGATACGCAGCCACAGGTACTCCCCAGAGTGACAGAGGGAGACACGTCTGCATGTCTTGGAGTGGCAGGAGTAAAGCTCTGATGTAACGACTTCAACCCCAGGTCTAGCTGCCATGCTACGCGCATCCAAGCCTGGCCAAGGCCTCCCTCGCTAACAGGCAGTCGGGCGACTCTACCTGGCAGACACCCTCTTCATATGAAGGCCCTTAAGGGCTGCATTTTGTCTGCATTAAATGAAATGACACAAGACGTGTAGTTCAACCAGTGACTGCTCATTACACCGTCGCAGGACTGCCGCGGCACCCAGGTGAGCGCGTCTTACTAAAAGGGAAAAGGCCCCCGGTGGGGAGCAGGGTGCCCCCTCCCGGACAGCTGGCAGCCGCAATGTGGGACGCGCAGGTGTCATAACACTGTGTCCTAAGGGTTCTGAGATGCACTTCAGTGGAAGGGGAGAGATGGTTCATTTGTCACTTACATATCTTATGCTGTCAAATCCTCTGAAGCTTTCACAGGCTGTGGGTCTTACCAAGCCTTTAATTAACGAGGCCTGGGTGTCAACGACAGGCTCCATCCGTGTCGCAGGGGTGCAAGATTTGACCCAGGGGAACAGCCGCGTACCATATCTGGTGATTTGGTGTTTGCCTGATACTGTAAGTGCACCGGTGATATGACTGTTGCAGCATGACATACAGCAAAGGCATTGGCTAGGTCACATTTTGGAGGCAGAACTGTGGAACCACAACTGTGTCATCCTCTAGGAAGAAAACACTTCATTTCATTCTTCTGCTGCATAGTTAAAACTGACTTGATAAAATAAATAACAGTAGATAATCTAGGAAAACTGTACTCTTGTGGTCCTTCTGCACATACATTTTTTAACCTCATAAAAGATGCTTTTACAGTCTGTTGATGCACATGGCATAGTTTTATGCTTAATTTTAGTGCCAAATTTACACTCTGGATATCAAGCACCTGAACACTGTGTTTTATTATGTCTCTCTCACAACGATGTACAGCCACCGTAAGACTGACAACTGTGTTCAGTAACGACATCTAGTGCCAGAATACTATGTTTATGTAATAATATTGGAACTTAATGTGTCAAGAAAAAGGTACGGTAACTAAACTGAATAAAATCTAATTACACAATTCCAAATACACGTTTTGGAAAAACACTGAAATGTATTCAATTGAAATGATAGTTTCCATACCTGAAAAAGAAAATCTTTTGATGTTTATTTCTCTTTACTAAAGCTTGTCACATCTATGAGTGCTAACATCACTGTGTGCGGAGCTGAAGAAGCTGAATTACCTCGGTGAGCACTGGGCTTCAGTTACACGGTCCGCGCAGAGCCCACGCATCTCTGACAGAATTCAGTGACCAGGGACTGAGATCTGACGGTCACCTTGTGCAGGCTGCAAAAACAAAGAAAAGGACAACAGAGAGAAGCTTGCAGTCATTCAAAAGTCAAGATTATTTTCTTTACTCTATAGACTATCATCCATATGCTACCATCTAAAACTATGGCTTTAATTTCGCAGACAAGACAGCATGTTATCTAAGCTAATAGCCTGTTAATGATGCAGGCACTGCAGTCTCACAGCGGTATGGGCTGTGGGCAATTCTACATTTTACACAAAAAAAGGAAAAAGCTAATTTAATTATTAATTGGAACGATTATAGACTAGACCTTCATCGTGGTCTGGTATGTGCTTGCCTTCCAGAACGGTGTTGGGAAAGTTCAAATCCATTACACACAGAGATGGATAGTTCAGGTCAAGAAAGTACAAATCCAGACCAAGGTTTTGTATCAACCGACCATTTGAGTACCCTGTGACTGTGACTCTTTATACTCAGCTGGTTGGTTGAAACAAAACCATGGTGTGGATCTGCACCAGCTCTGGGCCTGAACTATCCATCTCTGTGTGTAATGGATTACTTTTGTGAGTGACTTCCCCAGCACTATTCCTGAGTATGCAAACTACTGCTAGCTGCAAGTAAAATAACCATCTTAGTCACTTAACATTACCAGAACAGTTTTCGTAATTCCTGATAGCAGAAATTTTGCTTACTTTCAAATAATAATGGTGACTAATGACCAACAGATTTGTGTAGATGTGGGTTTGGGTCACTAAGCAGCACAAGCACAAGCCACAAGTCCACAAGCAAGGTGTTGAGAAGCCACCATTTAAAATGATCCATTTCAGCTGTCCACTTCAGGGGCAGCAGCATTGAGACCGCAAGCCCTTTACAAAGGCTGTCCATTTACAATGACGGTCCCTTTAAAAAAAAAATTTAAAAAAAAACAGCGATCCCTCAGTGATCTCTCCAGTTCTGGGGAACTGGGGCATATCCATGGCTGGGAGCTAGAGAGCATACCCATTGTGCAGCTGAAAATAATAACTCATATTATTAACTCAAAAATCACTTGGAAGAGACCATCCTATTACCCCAAAAACAGGGAATATAAATATTTCATTTTACCAAATGGCAGGTTAAGTGAGGCCGTGATAATGCCCAGACAGCAATGATATCTTTAATTTCCTTTTCTATTTCATAGATTTATGTAAAGAAATTAAATTCCACTGAGCTTTCAGGGCTGAACAATTATTATAAAGCTAAGGGGGGGGTGGGTCACTTTTTTTGGCGGCAAACATAAATGAAATGGGTTAAGCTGCAGAAGAAAGAAAAATAAATATCAGTGTTATGTAATGAAGCGAAAAGCAGTGAACAGACACTAAGCTGGGTTACATGAGGACATCACACATTAACGCCAAACCATCAACACTGCACCTGGAATACCACTGTGGCATTAACGCTACAACTGGAATACTAATATTACAGTACATAATCCCAGTACAGTTTGTAACCCAACCTATACCAATTTGGCAAAATAAACTAGGTTAAAATTATGGAATTCAGTTGTTTAGAAATTGAAGCCAATCAATAGGAGCTATTCCCACAGGATATGATTCTTTAAAATCTCAGTCACAAGGACACCAATCCAAAAATATTTGGCATGTGACGTCTCAGGGCCTCCAGGAGAATCCTGCTTTCATATTAGAACTATAAATGAAAATGTATCTTCTGTGATCCACTAGGTGGAAGACCACATTAGATTATTTAAAACAGTGTTTCCCAATCCGCTCTTCAGGGACCGGCAGACAGTCCACGTTTTTGCTCCTCTCTGCTCTTGGTAGGGAGCTGGGAGGGAGCAAAAACGTGCTCCGCCTGTGGGTCCCCAAGGACTGGATTGGGAAACACTGATTTAAAACCATTTACTCTGATGCTGCTGAATAAAACAAGCCTGCAGGTCAGCAAACTTAAACACAGAATGATCAGAGAATAAGTTACGCTTCAAATACGCAACAGATCATGACACCAGGAATCCACAGTACAAGCTGAGATGCTGACTTGGTCATCCACAAAAATCACCTTACCAGTTTTTAAACGATTGCATCTATACAGCAATCTTCTTGTCTTAATTTATGATATTATAAAGTATAAATTAACATTCAGGATAAAATGTGAGAACACAAGAATAACTAATAATTGAAAACAGTGTGCTGATCTCATGTGCACTGGCTCCATTTTTTTAAAAGGAAGCTTTTTCTTTGGCGTATGACATGACCTTGCAGTTCAGAAGTAACAACGCAGTGCAAAACAGACTCCGAATCACTGCACAATACATCCGCATTGACTGTAGGGCTATACTGCTTGTTTTTTAAAACCATATATAGGCAGCCAATCAAATCCAGCCAAACCCCGCTCTCCCTTTCCCATTTTCGGGGGGCAACGAGCCGGCCCAGATGCGATACGGCCATCATTTGCACAGCTGCAAACAGCCCATCCAAAGCCACAACAAAAAGTGCCGAAAAGATCCAACTACATTTACCCACTGTAAGGATGCAAAATTTTTTAGTCCAAATTCAAAATTAAGCTACATGTACAAAAACTAGTGTAAACGTCGTGTAACAAGTGTGTGATACACAAAAGGAAGGTTTGGTTACGAGCTACTGGTACAGGTAAAGAGCACTGGCGACGTGTTCCTGTCAGGAAACTCAGTAACATCACAATGGAACGCGGCAAATTAACACCATCTAAATATACCTGTGATACCAGGAAGTGGGATCAAGGTGCAACAGAACCTCAGTCATCACACTTCCATCAACACGTGCCTGGGTTGATAACAGAGATGCTTCTGTACGAGGACATCCCACTGCTTTTAGCTTGTAGGTACTCTGTTTTTCTCAGCAGAGGGAAGCTCAACACATCAACAGCCAAGCACGTTTTAATTGGTGTGTGAAGAGGCGTACGTGTGTCGACAGTGGGGCTCAGCCTTCCACCGGCTGCTGAGACGAGCTCGGCCGTAACCGCCCCCCTGGACGCTCCCGATTCAAGCCGTAACCACAGCGATAAGCCAGGGAGAACACTAGCCTTTAAGGTATGAATGGGGACCACAAACACGGGGGTGAAGCCACAGCTTGCCAGCCGTGACCACAGCTGACCCTCCCCAGTCTGCCTGGCAAGCCTGGCTCAGTCCGTGGTCTTGTGCCTTTCTGTGGTCTCACTGGGAGGTGGACCCTGAGTGCAGAATCCCAGGAGAGCCAACTGTTGTGTGAAATTAAATCCCGCAGACAGCAAACTTGTGTCATCTCCATTTACTGCTATTAATTAACTAATATAGTATAGATATCTTTGAAAAATGACATTAGCTACGTTTTTCTTTTTTAATGTAATAAAAAATGTCACTTTTTAGACCGTTAATAAAGTACAGCATTCAGTAGTAAAGCACAAACGTAAACCAGAAAATTGCTGAAATGGTGTCATACTTTATCACCAACAGAAGAAGATTCCAAATAAGAGGTGATTCTTGGAAGATTGTAGCCCTATACAAGTGTGTATCTATGTTAAAGACACACCTCAGGGTTCCTTTGTGGCTGGAATCTTCTGACAGATCAGCATCTCCTACCACAGCAGGCCGTTAGTCTAACGGTCACACAGAGTGTGTTACCAGCAAGCCAGCAAGGCGACAGAACCCCCCCCCCACACACACACACACACCTGCCCCCACCACAAGCAGCCCACTCACCACCAGCTCCTCTGATACAAACAGAACCAAATTACGGCAATAGAGACCAGACAGTGACAGAAGAAAAACTGTTACGGAAAAAACTGCTAGAAAAACTCCTATGGTTTGACGTTGAAAACCTCAATGCACAGGTTTGTACTACAGAAATACAAAAACTATTTGTGAAGTGCATACAGCCAATGTGAAATGATCAATAAGCAGGTCATTATTTTGAATAAATTAATTAGGGCTCTTCAAATCTGGACCTCGATTCTAAATCCAGGCCTTGTTTTCAGTTCTCCCAGGTAGTTAGTTTAATAATTACTGATTCTGATTGGTCAGAGGCTTCACACCTGACTGACAGGTAAAGGAAGGCTGCAAAACCAGCAGTGCTCGGACCTCGAGGACCGTGATTTGAATAACCCTGAATTAATCAATTAATCCCAGGGGCCTGCACCAAATAGGTCACTGGAGGATGGATGGATGGACTGACATCTAACAACACAACCAGAGGAACACAGAGACCAGCTAGAAATCAGACAAAAATGATTGTGTGGGAGGGCCAGTGTCCTTTGCTGTTTGGTTCTCTTCAGTGCCTGTACTGAGCCACCATTCCTGATGAATCTAAGCAGAGAATCAGCGCTGGGAGAAAAGACAGCTGACATTGATTGATGTCTCAGAGCTCTTCCTGATTCGCTGATTAAACCCATCAATCTATATGCAGAAGAGGTGTCGGATGCAAATGGAACCAATCAGGCCGAACAAAATGGTTTTGTCAGGAAGTTACAGCAGTAAGAGGAGAGCCAAAGGTAGCTGGAGAGCAGGGGATTTGGGCTGGTGCACAACTATCGCATAAGCATTCAAGCTTTTTCTGCTACCTCCTGCAGGGATCAGTTAACACAATTATGTAAGGACCATATACAGTATAATTACAGCAAACTATTAAGCAATTATGGGCAAATATGGCCATTTTGGGGGGAAAAAGCCTGAGTCATCTGCATCTTTATCACTGGTTAGTGTCTTCATATCTCTCTCCATAGTCCAAGTCACCATCTGCGTTGTCTAGAGCTCTCTCTGCACAGTCCAGGTCACCGTCTGTTTCTCTTGCTAGACCATCCTGGTTACTGTCTGCATCTGCCTCTAGACTGTCCAGATCATCCTCTACATCCCTCTCTCACAGTCCAGGTCACCATCTGTATCTCTCTCCACACAGTCTAGTTCACCATTTGCATCTCTCTCCACAAAGTCCAGATCACCGTCTGCATAGCTCTCCACACAGTCCAAGTCACTGTCTGCATCTCTCTCCACACAGTATAGGTCACCATTTTCATTTCTTTTCACGCA